ATATGAATCTAAAATGTCGATTGCTGAGCACAGTTCAATACATTGGGCAGATGTTTCCAAGAGAATGGCCTCCCAACCTTCCCATTCCCCTAGTCAGCCAAGCTTGCAATGACTGTGATAAAGGGTTGAAGCTTGTGCCCCATTATGACAGAATCTTCGACAATTTGCAAGACACCTTCACATGGGTGCCATTTCAGCAGAGGTCATGATGAAATGGAAGGGTGAGGGGTGGCAGGAGTTACCCTATTTTACAACGAGGTTGAAGCCCTCATTGAAAAGGACACAAAAGTAAGAAGAAAAACCTTTCTAACTTTCCCAATATATGGGACTTCCTGTTACTAAGGCACATGGTCAACCAGTTGTAACCTTCCCAGAAGCCATGTGGAGGTCACAGTTCAATCCCTCAGCCCTACCGGGGGTGGGACCTATCTGCATGATACAACACATACACTCACACGTCACCCTTAGGCTCCAAGGTCAAAGTCTTCAGGAACCCCTCTTCAATTCTCTTCTAAATGCAACATTGGAGACCCCTCCCACATATCCAGACCAGTGGGCCTGCCTCTGGCCAGGATGCTGAGGGCAGCTCTCTGAACACACTGGAAAGAAGTTGGAGAAAGAACACAAGCTTTCTCTAATAGCCCTTCACCCTGCTCCATTTACTCTCTGGCCCACTTCCCGCCCTGCAGAGGGAGTGGCTCTGAATTATAGCCTGGCTGGAAGCGAGGGTAATTGTAACTGACTGCCAGGCAGCGCTCCCAACCTGGGCAGCTGAGCAGGTGTGGCCCTGAGGTTGGGGAGCAGCAACTTGCAGGTGAACCTCTGAAGATGCTCCCAGGGTGGGGTGGGCCTTTGTGGAGGACTCAGTGACACAGGCACCTGCCACTGCAGGTGACCACAGTCCTCCCTGAAGCTGCTCCCGCCCCACTGTAGACAGCCCTCCCGAGGAAGTCCCAGGAGAACCCAAGACTGGGCTCCTTGATCTTCAAAACAGCATAAGTCACTGGATCTACTCACTTCCTTGGGCAGTGGAGGTGGAAACCACATCTCAGAATTGGTCTCCAAAGGTGACTAAATCCTCTTACCCCAGGCTAGAGGAAGGACATTTAAACCAATACCCATAAGTAGCCACAACCTTGCAGAGTACACAGATCATTTCAACGCAAGATGGGGAGGGCCATGATGGCAGTAGGCAGGGATGCTGGGGCCTCCAAGTGGCCCAGATGACAGCAAGTCACTGAGCCTGCTGTCCCCCTCTGCAGAGGCCAGGAGCACTAACTCAGAGTGGTGTACCCTGGGTATGAGAATTGACACACTCTCTCCATGGCCAGGTGTGGCCAAACTCTCCAGTTTGTAAGAGAAGCAAAAAACCTGGGCTTATGTGAAGTTTCCTAATATTTATGTGCTGGCAAACAGTTCCATTAAAACAGTATAATCTAGTCAACGCCGCAGGACCAAACCAAACAGCCTCTGCATGCTCCTGCCTTGCAATGCAGCCGGCCTCTAGCTGCTCTGCCCAGGGAGGGAGCTAGGATTCCACCACCTGCACAGGAGGAGAGTCCGAGACTCCTGAGTCACTAAACCCACTGCCCAGCCTCTGGGAGTATGGGGGGGGGGCCTAAGAGTCAGCAGGGGGATCAGACTGCTCTGAAACCTTGTGCCCAATTCTAGCTGAGCACAAAAACTCTGTGCGGTTGCCTCCTCCCCACGGCCCCGCCCACTCCAGGCCCAGGCTGCCTCTGCTGTAGGATGACTTGCAAGTTTTGCTGGCAAAGCACCTCCCCTCTTGGCTGGGCAGAAAGCTCCTCGGATGCCCGCCTTGCCAAGGCTGCCTTGCCTCAAGTTGCTAAGAGCAGGAGTGCGGGGCAGCACGGTGGCGTCCCCGTTGCCCCTGGTTCTTGGGGCGGGGGGGGGGCTGGCTGTACAGCCGCTTTCCCAGTCTTGAGATATACATCCCCTCCCCTGCCAAGTGAATCTCCTCCTGCATCTCCTCCGGGCTCTCCTTCCCCAGCCATAACCAGCTGGAGACAAAGCCAGGGGATATTGGGTAACTGATTGGGGTTTTATCGCTTCTGCTCCAAAGGCAGTCAGGAAAGTGCCCAGCTCTCTCTTTGAAGGCGAAAGATGACTAGGGAGAAATGTTCTCTAATTGTCTCAAACGGTGCTCTCCGCAGTTGAAGGGGGGTGGTAGGAGGGGCTTCAGATCCCCCCCACACCTGCTTTCACCCTGTGAAAACTTCTAGGAGTGAGAGTCAGGTTTCCCAGCCTGGTGTCCTCCCTCTAAGGGGGAGTGGGGAGCAGGGCCCCTGCCCTGGGTGGAGGACCAGGACTGGGAAGCACAGCCTCCCCTTTTGCCTGACTGAACAGAAATATTTTCCCTTTTTTTAAATACAAGATTTAAAAAGCCATTTCACAGCTAAAAAACATACTTGTAAGCAGAGGATCGGGACGCTCTTAAGAAGGCTTTGTTGATTCTCCAAAATATTCCCAAGTGTTGATGTAAATAATGAGTGCTAAATTAAATGTTGCAAAAATAAATGATTCAAGCACACTGTTCCTCCCTCCACCTCCCTGAATCTGCAAACTTCAGACTTCACCATGATGCTAATCCTGCAAGTTTTTAACAAATTCTACTTAAGACACTTCAGGGGAACTCATCCCCCCAAACAAAGAGTTTTCATACAGAAGAGTGTTGACTTCAAGGCCCAATTTCCTTCTCATATTCCACTTGTGGGAATGAAGTTAATAAAGGCACCTCTGTTTTCCATTAAACTGTGACTCGCAAAAGAAATAAGACTCAAACCTTTAAACAACAAGAAGCCATTGAAAGACGTGGACACTAAGAAAGGCAGGCTGGCAAGGGTGGGGGCGGGGACGGACCTGGGGAGGCCGCTGACCCTGGCTAGTCCTAGTTTGACAGGAAAGTGAGGGTCAAGCACCACCCTCTTGTACCCCACTCCCAAGAAAGCCCACAATCCCATGCACCCCGCACTTTTTCTGTTTATGTATTTGCTTCAGTAACCTGTTTCCTGCCCTCTCCACCATCCTTGTTCATACCCACTGCCCCAGAGTGCTGGGAGGATGGAAGGGGGTGTGTTCCTGGATGACCTGTGACCCCAGAACTCCCAGGCCCTTGGGACAGACCCTAGTCTCAGAGCAGGGGCCTGTGTGCCCACCTGCTGTGTCTGGCTGAGGCAGGTGGGGGTCACCAGCACACAGAGGCTGGAGGGAGCAGGTTCCACCTGCCCAGTGTCCACTCTGTGTCCAGCAGCTATCTCTCTTCTCCATCCCTACAAAGTACACCTGGTAGTCCTGCCCCCTTCCCCCCTTTTCCTCCTCTCCCTCCCCACCCCCACCAGGAGAGGTGCTAGAGTGGACAAAAATGCAAACAATGCCAATCCTGCCAGTCCTCTTTCCTGCCTCCATCCCCACCTCTAGAGCACTTGCCTTTAGTGCCTTCCCAGCCTGCTGCACCCTGCCCAGTCATTCCGGTCAGGGCACCTTGGGCTTGATGCTGAACACAGGGATGCCGCCCGCCCGGGAGAGCTGCCAATCCCACGCCAGGCCTCCTCAGCTCTCCTCTGCTCTCCCCTTCTGCTCAAAGATCACCCTCCTTCCCTCTTTACCAAGATTCTTACCAAGCCCAAGCCTCTGTGTACTTGTGTATAAAACTCAAAAGAAATGGCGGACTCAAGACGCGGATTCAAATAGAGCTGAGGACGCCCAGGTCTGTTTTCACTCTCAGCGAGGCGCGTCTGGGCAAGCCGGCCTCCTCCATCTCTCCCGGTTAGGCCACGCCAACTACACGCTGAGGGCTCACTGGGTGCAGCCCAGCACACACACGCTGGCGGGGGGGGGGGGGGGGGGGGGGGGCCCGAGCCTGCCTCTTGCCTCCACTGGGAGTCACGGGAAACGTGCCAGCCCAGAGCGCCCGCTCGAGGAAGCCGTGGGTAGAGCCGACGCCCAGCGATCAGGACCTGCTTTCCCAGTCTGGTATATAGGTCACCCTCCAAGTCCCTGGTGTGATGACTCACTGCTCCCCTCTGTCACAGCCTGATAAAGAACTCGAACCATTAAGCAATGGAACAAATTACTAAATGGGAGGCACAGGAGAAACCCGGGATTAAATTAGTTCATTATTCATAAATCATAAATGACTCCGGTGCTTGTCTCTAGCGCTGTCTGCCCGATTTGAAGCAGCGGTGCCTTCCTCGGGCGAGGGCACAGGAGCTCCTGAGGGGCCCTGGGTGTCAGCCACCTGCTAGCTGGTGCATGAGCGCTGCGCCCCAGCCTCCACACTACTCACGGCTCTCTGGGCTGCTACCTTGGAACCACACAGCGGGGCTGGGGTGCGGGTTGGAGGTTGGGCATGGGGGAGCGCTGCGCATGGTCCTGATGCCTGGCGTGGCGGAAGGGCTATGCGACCAGGGTGTGTCACCACTGCGGGGACTGTTGTCTCTGTGGGTCATCTCACCTGAGTCTTGTCACCACTGAGGGAAGTGTCATCCCTGTGGGATGGGAGGCCTGTCTCCTTTTCAGAGCAAATGGCATCTTCAGTTGTCATCCCTGGGGATGACACACCTAGGGGAAGTCTCTCCAGTGGGTGTGTCTCATGACAGCTCCTGGAGGCTGTCCCAACTGGAAACAGGGCCCCCTGTGTCTCTCCTGGGATCTGCCCTGCTTGGAAAAGAGCCAGGAAGTAGGGAGAGCACTCGACTCCCTGCCCAGGACGCCGGGGCATCTGTTCTGCAGCCCGGGAGGTGATGCCAGCTCTCTGCTCCCAGCAGGACCCTCCCTGCAGGTCGGCCAGCCTCTACCGACACTGAAGGAGGCTGCCAGCCCCAGGGGCCTGGGAAATGGAGACTGGGAGGAGCCTGATGGGGCTGGGAAGGAGTGATTGAGAAATGCGCATTAGAGAGATGTGCCGCCCCCTGCTGGCCACATGTGGGAAAGGCACGTAGTAAACCTACCCTGGGCTGGGCGTGGAGGGATGAGGAGGAACCACCCCGGTTTCAGGGAGACATTTGCTTGCTTCTCTCAGTGTATCACCCCAGCTGCAACACGGTTTTGACAACGCATGGCTCTCAGACTATGGCTCAGAGATTCCCAAACAGCAGCCGTACTCTGGAACTCTTTGTATGAGGAGTGTTCCTTACTGGGACTGTGCAGATGTCTGGGATTAGTCCGAGTCTCTGACATCTTTTCTGCACTCTCGAGGACTGGCTCTTTCTCAAAAGGTAAGAGGAGGTCAGAGGGAAGGGAAAGGCTGATGAAAGGGGAACCAAGCAGCTTGGCAGCATGCCGAGTCCCTCCCCGCAAGAAGTGGGCAACGGTTCTTACATAATAGCAGTAAGTGCCATGGGCATGAGGCCCGCCATGTACCAACTGCACCCACACTCAAGTCCAGCAGTGACGCACATCCATTTCACAGATAAAGAAACTGAGGCCAGTAAGTGACTGGCCCAAGCAAGTGGCTGAGCCAGGATTTTAACCCAGGTCTGAAGTTTTAATCTAGCTCCTGTTATCTTACTGAGAACCAGACCGGCCTCTTCAGAGCCCGCTTGGTCTTGCACACGGACAGGGCTATGCTGACATTCTAATTGGGAGGAAGGTCAGATTTTTCCACATTCTCAGTATTCTAATTCATCTTGTCCATGTTGATTCTAAGAGTTGACCACTTCCCACCCCTGCCTCTTGCTTAACTGTTCTCTGGGCGAAATTCCTGTCTTAGCCAAAAGGGCTCTGTTCCTACTGAAGCCAGAAGTCAGAACCTCCTCCCCACACTCACCCAGCTCCTCTGCAGCCGGCTTACAGACTGCTACAGCTGACACGTGGAGATGGGGCCTGGCCTGTCACCGAGGCTCACTGGGACCCCACGACCCCGCTGACTTGACACTGATTTTTACAGCTTTGCAAATAGTTGCCTTAGTTCCCTTCCTCAGAATGCATTATAAAGTTAAAGGGAGGAAAAGAAGTCTTTTAAAAATCCCCCAGCTATCTTAATTAACATGCAGAATGCTTTTCTGGCAGTGCACAGGCTGTGATAAAACGGGAAGCTTCTTAACACAACATATATTTAATCTGTGGCATTCACTTCCACACAAAATTCAATCAGATATTTTAAGGGAGCTAACAAGGGCTCTCACATCGAACTGTGAATAAATGCAGGTGTGATAAATATACTGAAGCGACTGAGAGGCTTTATCAAAAGATAAAGGTGTAAAGTGGGGTGGGGTTGAAGGACAAATCTTAATTCTAATTCTGTACACTGTCAAAGAGGGTAAGAGAATTTATTGGACAATGCCTGGGCAAACTAATGACCCGCTGCCTCTGAAAAATCAATTAAACTTGCTCATCTGTTCTGTTTTCCGGGGAATTTTGATGTAGGCCTGTTATGTATCAGGCATGAGGGAGGAAGTGACGGACAAGTAATGCAGTTCAGGACTGTCCCCTGGAATTCACATTCTGACCAGGAAAGATGGACACTGAGAATGAAAGCAGTGATTTTTCGATGGAGTTAAGGAATGGGAACTGAGAGAGTGTTCAGGTAAGTCATCTGCCAGGAGCTGATGTCTGAGGGGAAACCAGGTGCATGAGGAGGGGCCCACCACGCAGTGCGGGGAACAGCCTGTTCCAGGCTGCAGAAGCCCCCTGAGCGCAGGGAACAGAAGGCGGCCCTGGAGCTGGGGCACGGGGAACAGAGAAGAGCCGGGAACCAGTGTCTAGTTGGAGAGGTAAGCCTTTCAACTTACCTTTTTTTCTCCAACTGGAAGTTTCTGCTGCACATCAATGGGGAAAGGAGGGTTGGTCTGAATGCAGAGTCAGGAGACAGCTCACCACGGGGAGGAAAACAGAGCTGTACCTACATCCCAACCCAGAGAGATCAAGGTCTCGGTGAAAACCAGCACAAATAGGGAGCTGGTAGGAAGGAAAGGAGTGACCTATCTGTGTGGTTGGTCTCAGCATAATCCACATAATAACTTTCAGAGGAAAATTAGATGAATTTGGCTATACTGAATTTAAAGATTTTGTTTCCAAAAGAACACTAAGCCTAAGCTAACACTAAGTGAATATCTTGAGATTTTGCACAGTCTAAAACAAAGGGATTAATATTTGTAATAAAGATTGGCAAAATCCAGTCCAAATACCCAGTTGGTTGTCTATTTTTGTAAATAAAGTTTTATTGGAACACAGCCATGACCATGCATTTCTGCGGTTAAATAGCTGTAACATATTGTTCTTAAAACCAGGCATATTTAATATCTCTCCCTTTATAAGAGTTTGTCGACCACTGATCTAAGATATATAAGGAATGGGCAGGAAATACACTAGGAAAATCTGCAAAGTCTCTGACCATATAATTCACTGGGGAGGAAGTGGATTGGATATATAAGACAAAATGAAAAATCTTGCCAGAATTCAAGTAAAAATTAAAATATTTAGATTCATTTTTATGTTCATGAATAATACAAAAATTAGAAAGATAGGTAATACCAAGTACTGATGAAGATGTCAAAAAAAAAAAAAATCCCCACCATAAAACAAGACCCCTGAAGCCATCAGTTAAAGCATGAAAGTGATTAATCATTCTGCAGCACATCTGACTTCTCCATTCCTTGCCCTGTAAATCTCTTCCACTGGGCTGTTCCTAAATTGTATTCTTATAATAAACCAGCAGTAACAAGTAACACTTTCACCAGAGTTTTGAGTCCTTTCGGCAAAGTTGTGGAAACAGAGGGGTTATAGGAGCCCTTACATTTGTAGCAGATGAGGCAGACGTGAGGAACCTGCCTCTGACATGAGGGAGGATGAGCTCTTCAGCCTGTGGAATCTGATGCTCCTTCCAGACTGTCAATGCCAGAAGTGAATTGTTGAATACCTGGTGTTGGTATTGGAGAATTCAGAATTGGTATTGGAAATAACGCCCTATCTCATGTGAGGGCAAAGACCGTCACTCCACCTGGAAACACCTCTCACCCATCAGTCGTGGCTGAGGCCTGAGGAGGAAGACACAATCCAGCGAGGTGTCTCTCAGGGGCCCAGAATTCGGAAGGTGGACAGCTGGACACCACATAACTCACACTTGGCATTCTTTCTAAGGATAAATGCCCTGAGAAAATGCCCTGGATTGATTAAAATTAAGTCTTTCACCACCAGTCAAAGTGGGACTCCAAGAGAGAAATAAATTCAGTTGGTGAAAAAGTTACATAGGTTTGGCCCCGCGCTGATTTGCAATCACATGAGCGCCTACCCAAACATAAAAGAATGTCATTAACAGGGAAGCGCTATTAGCAAGTTCATTAATCATGGTCATTTTCACACTTCCATGGTCAACTACAATCCTGTTGGTTTAAACTGAGGCCTCCTACTTAATTATAGTGTTTATCAATTAGCAGTTCACCCCCCACCCCGGGCCTGCCCTGGCTTTCAGTAAAAGATGAAGTGCCTGAATTTGACAAGTGTTTCTTGGAGGGGTCCCCTCTTGCTTGGGCAAAGGGCCATGTTCTGTTTTAGCAGGACCATCATTTGTTGCTGAGTGAACAGGCCCATTTTCAATGGTGTCGCTAAGGGCTTGGCCTTGTCCATGAACCCCAAGCTGATAAGTGTCTATTTCCAGGTCTCCCCTTTCCCATCCTGACCCCCTCCAGGGTTGCTTTCATTTCCCAAATAAGTGATTTATTTCTGCCTTTTATGACCCCCTGCCTTGCCCCACAACCCCAAAATTCTAGTGCAGAATCTTTGAATCAGACTCTGCCACTAACGTTAGGCTAGTGACTCTTGCCTGCCCACCAAGCCTAAAAATGGGCATATTCATGCCTGCCTAGGAGAGCATTTCTTGTTTTCTGTTGTCTTTGTCCCTTGATCTGTGTGCAGACAATGTGTGTATAATACTGCAGCAGCTCTTGGTGTCCTGCCTGCCCCCCCCCATTGCCATGTGTGCCTGGAGGATGGGGGGGGGGTGAGAGCCTGGGAGGAATTGAGCACCTGCACTTCTCACCTGAATCCTATGCATCCTACCACCTTTTGCTGCCTCAGCAGCCAGTCTGAAGTGCTAGGACTTGGAACCCCTCTGACCCTCTGAAATCAATGACAGGCAGGAACTGGTGTAAAATACTCCAACTCCCTTGACTCATGTAGGGTGGCTCTGCAGGGCGAGTGTCCAGCAGAATTATGATCCAGTCCGCTGGGCAGTACTCTTGCTGGATCACAGCACTTATCGGCCATGTTCTCCTGGGCAGTGCCCCCACCCTCTGCAGGGGTTGCCTTCACTGCCCAAATAACTTACTTCCACCTATTTCCCCTGGGTCTGTCCCAGGGAAACAGACAAGCCCCTCACTGTGTCAGCACATAATATGGTCAGCTCATGTTTTTGACTGTATTTTAAAAGTCTGGTTAAAGGACGTAAGAAATAACTAGGCAAAAACTGTGAGAAGGTATTTGCAGTCTTGAAAGCCAAAGGGTACCGGTCTAGACTCTCCAAAAATACAGTCGACCACAAATCATCTGCAACAACCACTGCAAGAGGAACTAGAACGTGGTGATCAGGGAATGTTCTGGAGGGAAGAGCCAATGGCCAGCAGCAAGTCCCGAACCATCTGTGACCAGGACTTCACATTCAGACAAGATGTCCACTTAGGCCACCAGAACCGCAAAAGTCAGAACTGTGGGAGCTAGGACCCCGACACTGCCCAGAGGTGTCAGCTGGATGTGCCTCTCTGGACAGCTCTCAGGCAGCTTTCGGAGCCTGTTGGCTCCATCACCCACAACCCCTCCTCTGGGCACATCTGTTGCCTGGAAATTCTCATCAAGTACCAGTGGGCTTATCTCGGAGTTTTCATGTTGGGGAGTTGAAGGTGAGCCAGGGTCTTTCCCTAGGAAGAGGAAAGATGGGGCAGGATGAACTCTGCAATGATGCACAGAGGGTGGAGTAACACAGGCAGCCAGGCAAGTGCAGACTGATAAAAGGAGCCATGAAGGATTTATAGCAAAATGCCGTAATGCAAGTTAGCAACACAAGACATACATTGCCAGGCGACATGCATTTGCAAGGACATAGCAAACACCTTTGGAAGAGTGGCTGGGAGTGTGGGTGGGGATTGGAAAGCAAGGATCAGGACGTTAAAAAAATGACAAGAGCAAACTTTAAAAACATACGATAACTTAGGGGAGTGTTCTGGTGACCAGAGAGTAGAGAAAGATTTTCTAATTAAGACAAGCAAAGCGCAGCTCTCAAAGGAAAAGACTAGTAGATTTGGCAATGTTCTCATTTGAAACAATTTGTTCAATAGCACCCTAAGAAGTGAAAGGGAAAACTCACTGACAAGATATTTGGAAAGTATCTGCCTGAAAATGGAAGGGTAGAAGACTACACGAGAGCCTTCAGATGACAACTATTTGCTCATGCTTACAATGTGGCAGGCATTGTGCAAGGCACCTCAGCCTGGTGGGCTGGCTGTAAAGTGCTAAGAGCAAAGCAAGTTGGCAAAGGAACGCGTGGCAAGGCCAGCTTGCACAGGCGAGTCATGCCCCGAAGGATACACTATGCTAGCGTCACAGCACACGCGTTCTGTCCTCTCTGACGGCGTCTCTCCAACCCTGGCCGCCGGGCGGTCATGTGGGCTGGCAAGAGCCTGCTGGCCTTGGGGAGTCAGAGCCTGACGCACTCTGCCTGCTGGCGCTTTCTGGTGTGGGATCCCTCCAAGTGGGGCTTCTAGTGCTGAACACAGTACATAGCACCCGGGCATGCGAAGGGGTTATTTCGGTGAACACATAAAGACAACCGGTAGAGGAAAGAGCTGGCCCCACGCTAATTTTTTTTTTTTTTTTAGCATTGTTTTAATCCCCAGAGAAGTTTCTTGAGTGGATGCTGTTACTTACATTTGCAGGTGAGGACACTAAGTGGCAGGGAGGTTGGGGACCGTCTAGGCCACGTAGCTCTAAAGCCAGGTCTACACTCAAACTCCACAGGCAGCATCATCTGTAAACGTGTCGGCCAGCCCAGCTCTCATCCCCCAAAGGGTCTGAACCACAGAAATCTGTATTTATGAGCCTTTCTGAATAATGGAAGGGGTGTCGGGGGAGGATGGCAGACCTTGTTAAAATGTATTCTGATGCAATAGGACGGGAGGCCTGGGACCTGGCATTTCTACCAAGCTCCCTAGTGACCTAAGGCTACAGGACCCCACACCTTACTAGAGTTCTGGTTTTAATTATCGCTCAACCACTTATTACACTCCCCTGAGGACTGGGCTTGTTCTGGATGGCAATCAAAATGTTTTGTGTTTGTACTGGGGGGCTGCTGGGGTGCTCTACAGCAGTAAGAGGGGGCCCTGTCTCCTCTATGTATACATACACCACATCTTCTTGATGTGGCATTTAGGTTGTTTCCAAATCTTGGCTGTTGTAAATTGTGCTGCAGTAAACACAGGAGTGCGGGCTTTCTTTTCAAATTAGTGTTTTTGTGTCCTTTGGGTTGAATCACTAAGTCAGATGGTAAATCCATTTTAGTATTATGAGGACCTCCCATACAGCTTTCCAGAGTGACTGGGCCAGTGTGCGTCCCATCAGCAGGATAGAACAGGGAAAAACTGCAAGCTTACCATAGATCTGAGGCACCCAGTGGGGGAGGGAAGAGCACCAGGACTAGGGTGATGAATCCTGGGTGCTACCGTGGCGGGGCAACTGCGGGGACTGTACCTGAAGGGGGAAATCAAATGCTATCCAAAATTTAAGAAAGATGTAAGAAAATAAAGGGCAAAAAGACAGCCTGGTCACAGCGCACACTAGAGTCTAGAGTCCAACTTGCCAATGGCTGGATTAAATTCCTTCGCGGTCTAGATCCAGGACTGCTCACAGTGATGTGAGTGGCTGGTTATTCTGGCCTTTGAAGCCTGCTCAGCACGAGCCTGCCCCTCAGCCAGGGGGGACACGGAGAATGCTCCCTGCCCACAGGGGCTTTGAGTGATGTGCAGGTGAATGTCCTTGGCGGAGCAGTCTGGATGGTCAGGCTGCCCTAAGTTTTCCCCCAAAGTCAGGGGCCCCCAGAGCTGGAGGCCCTCTCACCGGAAGGGAGGGGAGGAGCCCCCCAGTTAAAAGGACAAGGAGACTACTTGAGGTGGCCCTGAAGGACGCGGCGGGGGGGTGGGGGGAGTTTAGAGGTAGAGGGAAGGCCCAGAAGAGCCAGCTTTCTTCCCCGCCTGCCCTCCCCTCCCACTCAGCCTGCCAGAACCTCACCGGGCCGCCAGTGACGGAATCTGTCTCTTGGTTTGAATATTCGAGAGGCAAACCCTGACTGCACCACTGTGTCCAGGGGACAGGTGGCTTCTTCCGACGTGACCGAGGCCCTCCAGGCTGGGGAGCCTATCCCTGTGCTCCGTCTCTGCCCGCCAGGCCCACGCCCCTCCCAAACATCATTTCCAAAGGACCCTCCATGGGTCAAGATCTGAAAGACAGACAGTAGGTGCCAACACTTCAGTGCTCGGTCTTGCTGGTGCTGGCCGAGACACTACAATCAGAGATGATTTCCTGTGCCAGTTTTCTCAGGGCCCACAATCTCCAGTAGTATATTTCTGTCCCGCTCTGAAACAGTCAAGTCTGGGGCTGCATCCTCACAATTTTGCTAACCTAAAAACAATAGATTTAACCTTCACTAACATGTCCTAAATACACAATGAAATAAAAACAGACAATTTCAAAATCACTTCATGTGGTAAGGGCCAGAGCAGGTAAGTCTCCAGGACGGCACCGTATGTTAGCCCTGACTCCACACCAAATTTCAAATACTGTATTTCAGGTATTCAGACCCAGCTGCTGCCAATGAAGATCCTTGTAGTAACCTTGAAGGTAGGTAGATCCTTGTAGATAGGTTAGGCAGGGGTGAGATCTTTGACCAGCAAACCTGTCTCCCAGGTGTTCAAGGGCATATCCTGGTCCTCTTTATACTCCTCACAAATCTACACAGCCCCTGAACCCATGGACTTTGGTGCTTTATAAAATCTCTTTGGGAAAGGGCTGAGAAAGTGCAGCATCTCTGCCTGGAACTCAGGATGGAAAGAGGAGAGAATGGCCGAGGTGTGACAGTTACTGTTGGGCAGTGGGCAGGTACCTGAGCAATTATTGCCAAAGCAGAAGGCTGGTGTGGGTTGGAGAGCTGGTGCCCATCTTGGGTTTTTTTATTCTCAAGGCAGGAGGACTGAGGCTTTGTTCTCTAGTCCCTGTCTCTGTCCTGACAGATGCCCTTCTACTTCAGAACATACAAATGCTTTCATCTGTCCAACTCAGGTCGGTGAAAAAGGAGGCCTGGACTCAGCGTGACAAGGACAGAGAGCCCACTGGCCACTCCAGGAAGGACCACCCATGGGTTAGCAGTGTCTCTCAGGGGGGCAGAAGGAAGGGAGCCTCCTTCTGAGATCAACCTGATGAGCTACAGGCCCTGAAACGTGTGCGACCGCTCAGAGTGGTCATTTAGCGCTCACCACGTCGGAGCAGGAGAAGCCACTCTGCATTCCAGTTCCCTCACTTCACCTCAAGCCAATTCCGTGAGAGGGTACATGATTGCAGGTGGGTCTTACAAACCTCGACCCTTTACTTGACGTCACTTACAGGCCCCCACGCACCTCCCTCCAACAGCTGACTCTCTCACCTGCTAGGTGGCTGCCTTGGGCTGCCAAGTCTACGTCATCACCCACAGGGGCACCTGAGAATTTAGTCTCTGGAGAAACCCTTAACCTGGGACTGTGCAGGGATAGGTAGCTCCCTCCCCCTCGAGGGTTATGTGACACCCTGTCCCCAGCGCTCCCTTTGGAACTGTGCCAAGGGGACCCCTCCCTCCATGGCTCCTTCCCTGCCTGGTCTCTGAGGCTGGTTTTTCTTGGGGGCATGTCCCAATGAAACACCTGCTTGCAAAGACCTGTGGTATCACTTGACGGTAAGTGCCAGAACCTGAGCTTAAATTCAGATTCAACCATTCACCATGTAAACCGCTTCACAAAGAGGACACCCTAGCAGAGGCCATGGCAGTAACCTAACAGCAAGCCCCTAACCCAACAGCCAGAGGACCTAAAATGGCATTCTTGCCCATGCTGGGTTCCAGGCAAGGCTGGGCAGTAAAGGCCTCTGCCTGAGCCCCCCTGGGGCTCTGACACCTCCCGGTCTGAGTGTTCTCTTCTGACAGCATGCCCAGCATAATTACGGTGGAGAAAGTTGCTAGAATTTGGAAATCTAGGAAGGCTTTTCTTAGCCAGGCAATTTTTTCCCTTTCAAACCTCTCTTCAAAGGGTGTAAGTTAATTGATCAGCCGAAAGCTGTGTGCATGCCATTGTTCTCTCTTCTGCAGCCAAATGAAAGTGTGTGTCTTTGATGTAAGTGAATTAACATTTTCCCGCAGCTCCGCCCCCTCACTGAAAGAAGAGATAGTCGCCATGACACCTGCAGTTCTCACGTTCTCTAGCACCAAAGTGACCGGGCAGCTAAACGCCTCCAGCTGAGAGTGGAGGCCAGCCCAGGGAAGAGAGCTTTGACCTGGTATCATCGTTTTGGAGCAATTATCCCAGGAAAAGGAAGACAATATGACACCCTTATTAATAGACAATATGACACCCTTGTTAATATGACTGTGTGCTGTGACTGTCAATGCCCCTGACATTTCACTGGTTTGTCCCTACCCCAGTGAAGTGCCCACCTCAGTCCCCGGCTTTGTTCAGAGCTTTTTACCTTTCTTTTCTACCATTCTCATCCCTCTTCCCTCCCAGCCTCCCACTGACCACCATGGGGATGTGGAAGGCAGGGGGAGAATGCCACAGGCACCTGACCTTGACCCCTGGGCTCTGTGTCCCCCTCACCCCTCTGTGTGGCTCCTGGAGGTGGACCTTGCAGACCAGGGGACACCCCCTTTCCTGGTCCCCCTGCCTCCCACCTTTAGTGATTCTCCCGCTTACTGCCACCCTCGCACCGTCACATGTGTTCATGTTTCTTAAAAGCCAAACTCTTAGCAGCCCCCCAACCAGGGGTTACTCATTTTTCTCATTCCCTTCGCCACAGAAACCGTAGTACACAGCTGTGTTGGGGGCCGCTCTCGAGTTCTCGCCCTGCACTTCTGTCACAGGCCTGTGCCAGTCAGCCTCCCCCCTTCACAGGTCGCCAGAGACCCCTACTTTGCTGCCCCAGGCGAGGCTGTTCCACAGGTGAACGGCAGACCAGGAAAGCCCTGCTACCTGCTCCAAGGCCTACGGTCACTCCCTCCAGGACAGTCCAGCTGGCGGCTGCCTCCAGAGATTGCAAAACAGCATGGACTGTAGAGGAGCCTGGCAGGATCGCAGCTTCCTGTATCTGAGTCCAGACGCTGCCCTTTAGGGATGAAGGATATGGTGTGGCCCCCGTTGCTAAAAGACTAAGCATGGAGTGTAGTCCTGGAGCCAGCTCTTCTTCGACTTGTGAGAACTGCTTGTCAAATCCTGTAGGCCAGTTATTTAGAAACCATTATAAAAATTGTAAGTTTACAATTAAACCAAAAGTGTCTGGATGTGCCCTGGTTTATTAAACCCACTCACTGAAGGACAATGCTGGCAGTGAATAAAGCTGCTGTCGGCATCCATGCGCAGGGTACTGGCTGGGCAGAAGTCATACTCTTTTGGGAAAATAGCAAGGATTGTATGGTAAGAGCAGGTTTAGTTTTGTAAGAAACTGTCAGTATTCCTAGAGCAGTCCTGTCAGCAACGAGAGGTACGGAATTCTAGGTTGATTATTTCCCCACCTCAACACTTTAAATATTTGATTCCATTCCATTTCTGCATGCATGGTTTGTGAAAATTCCAACTTTTGTCCTTCCACTTATTTTTCTCTCCTCTGGCTTTTTTTCAAGATTCTGACTTTCTGTAGTTTGAAAATCATAGGACTAGGTGTAATGTCTTGGGAGTTGGGCCTGGGGGTGAAATTTATCTTGCTTATTGTTTTCTAAGCTTCCTGGATCTATAGTTTGGTGTCTACAGTCTATTTTGGAAAGTTCTTAGACATTCAAATATTTCTTTTACTCCTTTCTCCCCACTATGGCGTTCCCATAATGTACAAATGTCACCCTTGTGCAGTTACTCCAAGTCTAGTGCCAGCATGCCCAGGGCAGATGGATAAAGCTGAGCCCCCAAGCCCTCAGGGGCTTTTTCAGGCTTTGATGCCCTCAGGGAGCCAGGCAGAGGCACCTCAGGCATGAGGCAGACAGGCGGCCAAGCTCCAAGCCCCCAGCCCTTTCCTCCCCTCTGGGCTCTCTGGCGTTCTCCTGGCCCCGCATGCCACCATCTGAGTGACACCACCCTTGCAGCCTCAGCGCCCAGGCTCAGGTGTGTCCACTTACTCTCCAGGTGCCCTCTATCAGCAGGCGAGCCGCGCCTAGATGACTTCTGCATCAACACTATCAAGGCCGCAGGTGACAGCCGCAGAGGCTAACGGTGCAAAAGCCTGATCAACTCACCTACCCTACATCAAGGTTCTTGGGTCCTTGGGGTGTTGTTGTTTTCTTTGCTTTGTTTTCAGGATTTTATTGCTATCTCCTCAGGCTCCTATAGTCTTTCCTCAGCCATTTTGACCTACTAATAAGCCCACCCAAGGCATTTGTCATTTGTTAGCTATTTTGATTCTAGCATTTCTTGTTTTTCTTTTTCCCAAAGGATTTCCATCTGTTTACATTATCCATCTGTCTACTTAGAGCCCTAACATGTTTAACCTAGTGTTTTAAACCCAGCACCCCTGTCACGTCTGGCTGTGATGCTTGCTCTGTCTCTGGATAATACTTTCTTATCTGATACACTGAGTGAAAGGAGCTGCTGGGAGCAGACCTTCCCAGTGCGCTGTTCTGCTGGGCAGAGGGTCTAGAAACCAGCCCTGGGTTGACCTTTCTCACTGGTGTGTGGCCACAATTACAAGCAAAAAGCAGTTCTGTTGCAGCAAAAATTATTTAACAATGTAGAGGGAGAGGGAGAACTACAGGGGAAAGCGAGTGTCCAGCTAGGGCATGGTGGTTGGATGGACCTGGGCGCAGCAGTAAAAACACCCACTCCTGCCTCTGCAAGGTCTGCAGCTTGCCCAGCCAGCCCTGCAGAGCTGCTGCTGCCCCCACAAAACGAAGCCCCCAAGCCCTTCCTGTTATAAGGGTTGCCCAAAATGGATGCTCAGCTCAGCCCCTCCCCAGCTGCCCTGCGCCCCACTCAACACAGGAGCAGAGATCCGGCCCGCCCCGCACCTGATCTACTCCCAGGGTAGAGTTCCCTCCTGCAGGTTGCTCTGGCCCCCTTCCTAAGGGATGGGCTGAGCTGCGGGTTCAAGGCTGCCCCAACAGAAGGGGTAAGGGGAAGCGCTCTATCATCCTCGGATTAGGTCTCAGTCTTTCAGGGACTGGGTGACTCAGTGCTCCACGGGAATTGCTCTATTTTTCCCCTCCATGGTGTTAGGGGTAGGGCAGGAAGACTAGGGCCAGCTGGAGTCGGGAATTTCCCTTCCCCCAGACCAGTTAGGCTGGTGAAACAGCTTCAGGTTAGCCTCTGCTTTAGTTTCTCCTGAGGTAAACCTTGCTAAGAGATCAATAATTTCCCTTCTCCCAGCCAGAAACTCCAGATTTTTCTCAGATGTTTATTGTGGGGAACTGGTAGCTCCTGGAGGTTTATCTCAATTGTTGAGGTCCTCCCCCACCCTCACCCCCTCCACTGGAGTTGTTTCAGTTACATCTTCTTACATCTTGAAGTTTTGGATAGTATTTAACTGTCCTGCATAGAACCTCCAGCAATTCATCAGTTCTGGTTGATATTTTCCAACCCAGGCACAGTCCCCCCATGGTTTCTGCTTGTGAGGCTTCTCAGATAAGCCAGAACTCACCCACCCGCCACTCCAGTCCCAGGGGCGTGTCTGCTGCTCTCTGCCCTCCTTTATGAAGGCAAGGAGGGTTGATTTCATCTGCTCGTGGTTTTACTTAGGATGGAATGGTAACGAGTTCCTTACATATGAAGTAAACCCCAAATCCCTACACTTTTTTAGAGACAGATATTAGAGAAATAATTTTCAGTTTAAGTAAAATTTCTGTTACATGTACCTTACAGGGGTTGACAGAAAAATGACTTAGGCTGGCTGGTATCCCTATCCCTGTGGTTACACAGCTCCAGCTTCCTGAACCCCCTCCACCCTTTCCTTTTCAACACGAATTGCTGTGCTCAGGAGTGCCTTCCCCCCACCCAGAAGACAGAGCCAGGAGAAGTGTGTACAGGTGGGGAGTGAATGACCCCCTTTCTGCTCTTTAAAAGGCCAATATCAGCTTCCCTCTTGGCCCTTGATAAAGACGATCACGCTGGGCCTCTGCCCAGCTCTGGCTTTATCACGTGGCCTACAGGTAGTGGCCGCCCCATGCTGAGGGAGACAAGACACACAGCCAAAGGCTGCAGGTGAACCCCAGCGTGACTCCGTGTGCTAGTCCCCCGGGACTCCATCAGCATGAGCAAGAGCTCTGCTTCTCTTGGATCAAGGCACACATGTGGAAGCGCCCATGCCTCATCTAAGAGAAAGCCCAAACCAGAAGCAGCATAAAGACGGAGAGGCCCCTGCTTCGCTTCGCTGTGCTAAGCAGCAGCAGGAAGAAAACTACCGAGAATACGAAGCTAAGCTCATTCAACCCCAGTGGCAGCCTCCTTTGCTCCAGACTGCTGTCCAGAGATTCGCTCAGCTTTGCAAAGGGCCCACGGTGAGCCCCTGACCCCCTCAGTGAAGAAATGCGCTCAGGGGCTGAACTAGCCCGCCCCAACAACACCCCTCGGCTCATTCTTTTCAGCTGTCCCCCCTGAGCGAGTTTCACCTCCAAGCCCAAGCCTGTTCCCCGACTTGTAAGGTGAGAGGGGACACGCCATGCTCAGGACACGTGCGCTTCTCTCTCTTCCCCTGCCTGCCTCTTGTCTCTGCCCTCCAAGAAGCGGCCAAGACCTCTTCTCTCGTCTCTACAAGGCCCTTTCTATTCTTCTGGACCCAGATGCCCACAAAGACTTAGGGCCTTTTTCAGAGCGCCCTAGACTAGCAGCACCCCCCGCTTCTCTGGGAGGCTTTTCAGCTACTTTCTCCGGAGTTTAGCTCCTTCTTCTTCAGAGGCCAGGAGCAGAACGTTTCTGAGAGGGTCGGTGCCCGCTGGGGTTAAGGCCCCTGCCAGGGCCCCGCCTACCGGTCTGATTGGGCGGTTTTCAATCCCGTCGCTGATTGGGCCGTTTCCCACTCAGCTCGGAGTGCACCTGTTGGTCCACCCGCTGCTCCAGGCGCAAAGCCACGGGCCTCTCTACTCCCTGCACCTGGAGGAGCCTCAGAGTCGGTGCCTCGCTCCTAGTGGGGCCCAGTGCGTCTCCCTGCAGTCCTGCTCCAGGGGCTGGTGCACTGGGGCAGCGTTTTAGGGGAACCACTGCCATCTGTCATCCCTGCGGGGCCTCTGCCTGCAGCCCGAATCTCTTTGGGACCACGGGTGGTGGCGGTAAAATGCCCATCACGCTCTGCCACTTGCAGTGCCCCAAAGTAGAGGGCAGGGTGGAGTTGGGGTCTCAGTTTCAAATTGACCAACCCCCCACAACCCCACCCCTTTTTCTTTTTCTCCCACTCCCCTCTCCCACAGTTCCTCCGCGAGGTCCTCAAACTTCTGGGCTATCTTCCTGTTGGTGCTGTACAAGGCTCCACGAAGTTAGTGACTTGTTTATTGTCTAGAAGGTTTTAGAACTCAGAAGTTCTCGATGATGGGTCTCTCTGGACTGAGATCAAGGTGTCCATATGGTCAGGCTTTTTGTGGAGGCTCGAGGGCAGAATCTGTTTCCTTGCCTTCGAGCTTCTAGAAGGTCCTTACTGTCCCTGACCTGAGGCTCCCTTCTAGTTCAAACCAGCAATGTCTGCCAAGTCTTACATCACAGCTCTGTGAACCGGCTTCCCTACCTTCCTATTCCACACTGAAAGGCCTTTGTGACCCCATTGTACCCACCTAGACAATCCAGCACCCTCTGTCTAAAATCAGCTGGTTAGCAACCTAATGACACACACTGCCTTAATTCCCTTAATGGCCATCTAACACAGACACTCACAGGTTCCAGGGGTGAAGACTTGGACAGCTTTGGGATTTGGAAAAGTCTCACACAGCTAAGCTCACAATACCCCCTCCTGGTCTTCTCTATAGAATGCAACCAGCAGAAGTTTTGAAGAGCTTATCAGTCAGCCCACCCTTGGTTACACACCTCCATTGAAAGTAAGAAAAATATCTGTAACCAAAATCCAGAGGCCTGGGTTATCTGGCCCCTGCCTCCACTCTGGACCTCTCTTGGCTCGCTCACAGTCCCTCATCCTCCCTGCCCCATACTGCTGCCTGGTCTCTGCTGGGGCTTCTCTCTATGGAGCCAGATTTCTCTCTCCCCCCTTTAATTCTTCCTCAGGCCTTGGTCCCTGAGTTGCTCCCTCAGAAGAGGCCCTGACTTCCCTGATGAGGCTGTGTTCTCCTCTCTTGCACTTGGCCATGATTT